CATTTCCAACTATTAGGAACTTCTAATTCTCCAATCACGAATTGGGTAGAGAATTTTATAACTTTGAATGAAGCTATATTCTTTTTCCATAGCACCATGATTCAACCAGATAATCCTTCAGATGGGACATAAAAGAAATCCCAATCCATACCTATCATAAGATTAACATCCCTTTTATTAATTAAAGCCAACATGGTTTCAAGCAACCCGACAAAGAAAGCCCCATACTCCTTAGTAAATTCTTCTAAATAAAGGGAAGCTTTTCTCTTTTTTTTTTCTCCCCTACGATTCCAAAAGCCGATGGAATAATTTATTGAATATTATGGGAAGATTTCCCCAAGTTCTCCTTCAGCTCACCTTCCATCCTCTATTCCTTGGAAATAATTTAATTGGACCCAAACCTTTAAGTTTCTTCATGCCTTTCTTCTTTGAAGTTACAAGAGTCTCACCTGAGATGTTCATTTGAGATTTCTCCTCTTCTACCTCCCCCTTATCAATGCCAGCATCTTTTTCAATATTAACAAGAGCTGTAAAGTTTTCCATTTCATTCTTTTTCAGCATATCATTGTCTTTAGGAATTTGATTCATCAGATCAAATTGATTATTAATGTTAATATAATTATTAACATCAGCTCCTTCTTTTACAAGAATATCATCTGACCCTATTTGAGATAGAGTAGAAGTTGAATCTTGCTGTAATTCTTCCTCCCGAGATTTAAAAACCACCATTAGATTTTTGATTTGATTTATTGCACCATTGCTTGAAGCATCCAGACTTTGTTTGTTGCCAGGATTTTCTTTATCTTTTATTTCCATAGTCTTTTTGGAGTCTTTCCACCCTGGCCGGCCCCAGGTATTTTGAATTTCTGATTTTTAACTCTTTTTCTCCCGTAATCTACATGGATCTAGGAACCATATCCTTCTTCATCCGTCTCTTTTACATCTTTAATTGTGTTACCTGTCTTTGAAACAGGCTTAGCTTTGGCCACCAAACCTTGAACATATTCATTTGAATGATAGTCTCCCGGCTTTAATACTCCAATAGTTTATGGACAGCTATTCTTCATATGTCCTATTTTTCCACAACTAAAACGGAGTTCACCAATCCTTTCATACTCAAATTTTTGATAGAATTTGCCAGAATTTCCTCCACCCATACTCCTAAGGGAAGCTTATTTTCAAGCTTGATCTTCACACATACCCTGGTAAATTCCCTTCTCCCCCATTGAAGCATATTTTCATCAACTAAATATGGGGTCCCAACCATTGAAGCGAATCTACACACATACACTTCATCCCAACAATGTTAAGGGAGGTTTGGCATTCTGATCCACACCGGAGTCGTCAAACCTTTTAGAGAATTAGGCTGAAATGCAGGAGTCCATTGTCTCCTTAGATCAATACCAAAAACATAATAAGGCACAAATTCTCCAAATACTTTTACTACCGGTGATTTCATCAATCTGTTGGTATTTTCTATCTCTTTTTGTTTATTAAGTTTAACAACTCCATCTTCCCATGAGCATTCTCCATAATCAAAATCTACCTTTTTAAAATTTGTTCTCTTCTTCCATGCATTGGTGATCATCTTATCAGGTTAAACTGAAGCTCCATCTTCACGATTAACCTCATTACTGTAATTTCCTAAGTCTGCTGAATTACATTCACGGACTTTTACCATGTCACCAGCCAGCAAGGAACCTCTTCAGAAATTCCCATATAAGAATTCTTATTCACATTTACTTCTTTAGAAACTGGGGATGAGCAGCCATCATTATTCAGTAACACCTCCTTTGCCGTATTCATATCAGATTTAAGATCAGTTATAGCATAATCAACCTTAGGAATTTGACTAACAATATTCAGACTCCTTTGTAAAGCAGAGGAATTGGGCACTCCATGACATCCCACATCACCATCTTACCTTTTCCCGTATAATATAATGGTTTCTTTTATTGGATAAAACCTCCTTCATTAATTACCATAGCTCCAAAATTTTTGAACCTTGGCTTAGACTCCAAATCAAACATACAGTTTGCATTGCCAAAAGTAGGTGGAGACGCTCCCTTAACAGGACGAGGAAGGATCCGGATCACATTGGATGAGATCTGATGTCCATCAGTAATGTCAAAAGGTGGAGGACGACGGCCCACCACCGTCATTGATCGACGGAGGAATTAGCGGGAAGCAAAAAATTTGAAAACGAAGACCTTCTCTCTCTAGAAATTTCGAGACCTTCTCTCTCTAGAAAAACTGCTATTTTAGCATCTTATTTAAATAAATAAATTACCCAAAGCTGGCCTTTGAATGCCTTAATTTATTGAATACCTCTTGAGCTAATAATAGATGATCAGAGATTGATCTCCCTTTCACAAAAGCCATCTGCTCTTAAGATATGATCTCCAGAATAACCACTAGCAATCTATTTAATAACACCTTAGCCATAATCTTTTAGATGGAATTGCATAAACAAATGGGACGATAGGCAGATGGAGTTAACGGATTAACTGACTTAGGAATCAGCATAACCAAAGTATCTTTTCAATCCTTACTCATTTTGCCCATAATAAAGAATTGTCTAACAGCTCTACACACATCCTCTTCAATGATTTTCCAATAAGATTTGAAAAAAAATTGTCATCCCATCACACCCTGGAGCCTTATTATTCCCCAACCTCATAACAACCTCCTTAATCTCATTAACAGAAAGCTCCCTCACCAACAAAGCCCTGTCTTCATCTCCCAGAACCATCCAAGGTTTTGGCCAATTCTCCAAATAGCATTCCCTAACTTTCCATTTATTTTGAAAGAATCTGAAAAAATACCTCATCCACTTCCTTAGGATCCTCAATGAGCATACCATTGAGTTTCTTCACTTGAGAAACCCAATTAACATTCCTCCTAGCATTGGCAAAAGCGTGAAAAATTGTGTTGGAGTCACCATCTTCAATCCACTTCACTTTTGCTCTCTGCTTCCACCAAGTATTCAAACAATTAAGATTGACATTCAACTCCTTAACTTTTGATCTAAGCAACCATAAATTTTCACCTTCCAACCAACCGACCCTAGCTTCCTCTTCTTGAAGATGTAAATTTTCAGCCTTCAATCTCTCCTTCTCCTTTGAATAATCCTTCAATTTGAGCTTCGTCCATGATTGTGAAGAAAACATCCCCGAGGGGCATACAGAGCCAAGGAGGGATCGGGAAGTATCAAATGTCTGGTGGCATCGGAGGTAAGGTTGATTTCTTCCCTTAGGAGAAGGGGGTATAGTTGGTCGAGGCTGATAGGATTGAGTATGGTTCTAACAACAGTTTTAAATGATTTATATGATCCCGGTAAGCCATTCAAGATGTAATGAATTATATCCTCTGTATCAACAGTAGAACCTACAGCGGTGATCTGATCGACTATGGTTTTGATGTCAGATAGATACTGAGTCATTGTGAGATTTTTGAGGGAAATGTTATGAAGAGATTTCTTGAGTTGGATGACTTTGGATCTGTTAAATGATTGGAACCGTGTTTCAAGAATGGTCCAAATAGCAGCGATTGATTCAAGATTAACAACGTAAGGTAAGATTGAAATGGAAATGGTGGAGCACAAAGAGGTGGCAAGTATTTGATCGGAAAGAGTCCATTTATCGAATAAAGAATTTGGATTAGTCGTTCCGTCATTCTGTAGAATGTTATGATCAGAAGGAATGGTTGAAGGATCAAGAAAAGTATGAAAACCTTGAGCTCGAAACAGCTTCAAGATCTGAGATCTCCAAACGGCATAGTTGTCCGTTGCTAGTTGAATTGGAGCTATGTTCTTGATGTTTGATACCAAGAACTTTAGAGAAGAAGAAATCTGGATCTCCTTTTATTTCTCTGTGATCATTTGCATGCTGCATTGCAAATTTGCTGATCTCGCCATGGTCGTCCCGCTCTGATGCCATAAAGAAACGCAACAGGCGAGGAAGACGAAGGCAAGGAAGAAAGAACAGAGAGGAAATGAAATATTTTATTCAGCCTTGTCACGGGTTACAAAATAGGCTTCTATATATAGATTGTCTAGTCCTGTATTTACAAGACAGCCAATGAGTCTATGACAGCTTTTATATTAAAATTGCATTACTTAGCATTTAGACAATTTGATTTGTGCTTCTTGCACAAGAGGTAATGCATAAACTCAAGAACTCAAAATCTTTAAAAGGTTTGGTTACCTTTAAGATTGATATGGAACAGGCCTATGATTCAATGGGATGGCCTACCTTAAGGAAATCCTTGGAGTATTTTGGATTTCCTTCTAAATTCTCTAACCTCATTTTGGAGTGTGTTCAAGATTCAAAGTTCTCTATTCCTATCAATAGTAATCAATCTAATTGGATTGAAGGAAGGAGTTGATTTAGACAAAGTTGTCCCTTGTCTCCTTTCCTTTTTATTCTTTGTGCTCAATTGCTCTCTAATGCTTTTAAACAAAAGGAGGATACTATTGGTATTTAGCTGAACTCAAGGGGCCCGAGAATCTCACATTTACTATATGCTGATGACGTGATCATCTTCTCAGAAACAAGCATAAAGGTAGTGAAGGAAGTTAAAGCTATTGTTAAGAGATTTTGTGGTTGGTCCGGCCTAAGAATCAACTTCAATAAATCAAGCATGATTTTTGGTAAAATGGTAAATAGAAGGAAGAGGAAGATTATAGCTCGGATCATGGGGTTCAAAGCTTCTAAAGAGCTGAATTATCTTGGTATTAAACTAGCCACAAGAAGACTGGTCAAGGAAGACTACCATTTTATTATTGACAAAGCCTTGAAGATGACTAATACTTGGGGAGGAAGGATGATTTCTTTGGCTGGAAAGATTTTGTTATCTAAATCTATCCTTTTATCTATTGCAATCTTTCATAGTACTAACTCTTTGGTGCCTAAAAGCATTCTTAATAAAGTTGATAAGATATGCATGAACTTTATATGGAATCAATCTAATGGTTGTTAAATGTTTTCTTTATTGGACTTATGGAGACCAAGCTGTCCAGCATTGATAGAAGGGAGGTTGATTGCCTTATGGGAAATGAGTGGGATTATTTTCACCAACCTGCTGTTCGGATTTCTAGTGGTATCCTGGTTTTGTGGAATATAAAGTTGGTGTCATTTGAGGTGTGTGAAGCTTCTTCACAGGTGATCATTGGTAATCTCTCGGTTCCTAGCTTAGGAACATGGAAGATTGCTACAGTTTATGGGAGTCGCTGCTGCAAGGAGAGAACTGATCTTTGGAACCAGTTGGAAAAGAGCATGGAGAATTCTATTCCTTCTATTATAGGGGGAGACTTCAATTGCATTTTAAATAAGGATGAGAAGAGAGGAGGTAAGAGGTTCTTATTTTCTAAAGGACCTAGAGAAATGAAGAGCTTCATGGTGAACTCAGATTTTCTTGATATTGGATGTGTTGGGCCAAGATTCATATGGTGTAACAACAAAGAGGGCACTTCTCGTATTTGGGAAAGGTTAGACAGATGTATTATGAATTCATTGGCTATGCAGAAGATTCCTTTGGTAGTAAACAGACATTTGGCGAGGATGGCGTCTGACCACTGTCCTATTGTGATTAAGATGGATGAAAGGGTGAAGCTTAAGTCGAAAACCATCAAGTTTGAAGATACATGGAGATCTTATCCTTTGGCAAAGAGTATAGTTTATCATTCTTGGAAGAAGAATGATGTTGGTAATGAGTATATTATCTTACAAAAGAAGCTTAATCGTACCTTGAAATCCTTTTTTTTCTGGAGTAGAAAAAAATGCAAAGACTTGAATGCTTTAAAGGAAAAATTGAAGAAGGAGATCCTTGATCTGCAAAATAAGGAAGCTTTGAATGATAATTGGTCGGATGATGACCTTTTTGAACTTAGGAACAAGGTACATGAACTCAATATTACTATGAGAAGACTTTCAACTTGGTGGAATCAAAGGGCTAAGGCTAGGTGGCATGAGGAAGGCAATGCAAATTCCAAGCTTTTTCACAACTTTGCAACGGCTAGAAGGATTGGGAACCGTATTTTTCAAGTCAAAGATGAAGCAAATAAGTTGCAAGAGGAGGAGGATCAAATCGAGAAGGTCTTCATCGACTTCTTTGAGAAGAAATGGAAGCATAGAGAATGTGAAATAACGGGCTGGCCTTCTATTATGGAGAATCAAAAGTTAAATGCTGAAGATTTGGAGTTATTAAATACTGAATTTACTGAAAAGGAGCTGTGGATTTAGGTATTCCAGCAAGGGAACAGTAAGTCCCCTGGTTTGGATGGCATTACCTCTTCCTTCTACAAAAGTTATTGGAATATAGTATGGGAAACTTTATGGAATGCAGTCAGAAGCTTCTTTAATTCCAACCATATGTATAAGGATTGGAAAGACATTTTGATTGTCTTAATTCCTAAATTGAAGAATCCCTTGACTCCTTCAAACTATAGGCCCATTAGCCTATGTCAAACCAATTATAAAATTGTGGCTACTATGCTTGTTAACAGATTGAAGAAGGGAATCTCTAAACTGATTTATGAAGAACAAGTTGCCTCCATCCATGGAAGATCTATTGCTGAACACTGTCTATTAGCTCAGGAGATTTTTCACAAGTTCAAAATCTCAAAGAACAGGAAGGGAATGATGGATGTTAAGCTTGATATGAACCAAGCTTATGATAGCATGGGATGGAAAACTCTTCGTCATATTTTGAGATGGTATGGTTTTCCTATTTCTTTCTCTAACCTCCTCTTGGAATGTGTTGTAGATGTGAGATTTTCCATTATCATTAACGGGAATAATTCTACATGGATCAATGCTCAAAGTGGATTCCATCAGGGATGTCCACTTTCACCATATTTATTCATCATGTGTTTCCAGTTGATCACTAACTCACTAGAGCAAAGAGGGAAGAGTCTTGGCATTAAAATTTCAAGTGGAGGACCAAAGATTACTCATTTAATTTATGCAGATGACGCTCTTATTTTTTCTCATGCATCTGTTGAGCTTGCTAGAACTATGAAGAACATTGTGGAGAAGTTTTGTAAGTGGACTGGGCAAAACATCAATGTTAGTAAATCTCAGTTGCTTTTTGGTAAGGTGGTCAGCTGTCAATATGAGAAAGAAGATTGGAAGAATTCTTGGTTTCAAGATAGTGAAGGAAATGAAGCACTTAGGAGTGAAGATCTCACTTTAAAGACTTAAGATGGCTGATTATCAAGAGATTCTTAGTAATGCCATGGAAAGACTTAATGTATGGAGTAGGAAATCTTATCCTTGGGAGGTAAATTGATTCTCATAGAAAGTTCTTTTCTCTCTATGAAAATTTTTCTAATTACCCAGTCCTTGGTACCTAAGAGGCTATTACATGATTTGGAAAAGTTGTGTAGAAGCTTTATTTGGAATAATAATGATGTCACTAAGAGGATGCACTACATTGCTTGGAATGACATTTGCAAAACAAGAAGTTTGGGAGGATTGGGATTACATTCTCGTATACAGAGAATTGGATCTTTAAGATCCAAGGTGGCATGGAATTATATTCAGAAGCCTCACTCTTTGCTTCACCATGTCATGGAAAAGAAATATGGTGACAATGTAATGAATGGAACTCAAAGGAGCATTAGTTCAAATGCCTGGAAAATTCTGGTGGAAGGGGGGAGTAATCTAAGGATGGCGGTGCGTTGGAAGGTGGGGAAGGGAGATAAAATCAACATTATGAATGACACTTGGTTGCTTGATAGATGCATTAATCGTTGGCCTACTTTTGCGGACTGCAACTTCCTGGATGGTAAGAATGTGCAGCAACTGATTCTATCTAATGGTATGTGGAGTTATGAATTGTTACAAAGAGCATTTCATCCATACCTTATTTCTTTAATCACTCAAGTTGTAATTAAGTTTGATGGTCAGGACCGGATGGTGCTGATGAAGATGTGTTCGGGGAAGACGCTGTTCGCCATGGTATATGAAGATTAAAATTGGCTGCATAATTCACCTCCAACATATCACAAAGCTCCCTTCTTTATACATATCCTTATTTTCATATACAATAGAAATCCTCCAAATGCCCTTGTTGTTGATTTTCAAATCTCCAATAACATATTGAGGTGAAGAATCAACAATTTGAAAATAAGAAAAAAAGAATTCCATAGAATAATAATGCTCTAAAGAGTTTAAATTGTTGAATGGTGATGGATGTAAATTTTACATTATGCCTTCAGAAGGGTTGTCAATTTTGTTTCAACCAAACCCAAAAAGAAAACTCCAAACATTTAACAAATTCTTTGAGGTAAAGAGAAGCACCTTTCTTTCTTTCTCCTCTACAATTCCAAAATGTTATTGAAGACATTAATGAGAGAGTGGGGATTTGACCTCCAAAGTACCTTTGATTTCCATCTCCAATCTTCTATTGATTGTGTTTGAACTGATTGGCCCAAAATCCTTCAACTGTTTGGATTTTTTCTTTTTTACATGAGTGCTCCCATCTACCTCCATACCAGACTCTTCATTCTGCACATGATCAACTTTAACTGTACCAGCAGGTTTTACACAAACCTCTTCCTCAGTATGATTTTCCTGTATTATTTCACCTTCTTCAACAATGCCTATGAGAGCATTAAACTTGTTGTTACTTGTATGAATGGAAAGATTACTACCCAACATCGTTTCTTCATCTTGTATAGTACCAGCCACTCCAACATGAACTGGAGTTTCTTCTGTTGTAATCGGAGCAAATGCAATATTCATTTTTTTTTACCAATGATGGATTAAATTTTTTACCGTCAACTTTATTCCAGGCAGATGTCTCCCTTGGTTTTTGAACAATTTTATTTGGTTTCCTGGAGAAGTTTCTTCCTCGGTTAACAACTAACCAAGGTCCATAGCCCACATCTTCATTAATCAAGTCACCATTAATCTTAACTTAGTTGTCTTCTCCCACAGTTAAAATAGTAGGATTTAAGTTCTTCTCTATATTGATAGAAGAATTGTCGACATCTATCTTGTTGATTTTGCAATCTTCCTTTCTATGCCCGTTCAACCCACAATTATAATAGAACACAGGAACTCTCTCATATTCAATTTTTGATAGAACTTTCTGGATCTCCCCTCCACCCAAACTCCAAGTGGTAGCTTGTTATCCAGTATGATTCTTTCACAAACTCTTCTGAATTCTCTCCTCCCCCATTGAAACATGTTGCCATCTATTAGGATAGGCTTCCTCACCATAAAAGCTATTCTGCATATGTTGATTTTATCCCAACATTGAAGAGGGAGGTTAGGCAATCTAATCCATATAGGTGACATCAATCTTTTAAGTGAAGTAGGTGAAAAGTCTTGCGACCACCTATCAACTCTTATGATTTGTCCTTTAATAAACCAAGGACCATTTGATAATACAGCTTCAAAGTGTTCTTGTTAAAAAAAAGAACAAAGAACCCATCTCATTCCAGCATTGTAAGGTGGAACTTACTGAATTGAGACCATTGTCTTCTAAGTTCTGAGCTGATTATAGGTAGAGGTGTTTCACCGTCAAAAACTTTAATCACCAGAGAGTTTGAAAGATTTTTAGAGTTTTCCAATTCATTTTGAACATGCAACTTCACTATATTTCCATCTTTAGAAATGAAGGTTCCCAATTCCATATCAGAAACTTTTATATTCTCTCTTTTCTTCCATGCATTTTTTGTGTGCAACAACATCAAATCAAATTGGAATAGAAGGAATTTCCACACAATCACCCAATACAGCAGTTTCGCAGATTTGAACACTTCTTAGATCAAAGGAGACTTCATCAGTTTTTAATACAGGGGCATTGCAGCCATCAACAAACTTCAATTTATCTCCAGCCATCAGCTGTAAATTGAAATTTTTTTCAGCAAGTTTATCTTGATTAAGATCCAAAGAAGCTTTATCTGATTTATTACTTCTGTTGCAAATCTATTTTTTCATGGCTTGTGTTTTGATGATTGACAAACACTACTTGGACTGCTTGTTGATTCTAACTTTTCAGAAATTGAAGATCAGACGATCAAGAAGGAGCCAGTACAAGATTGCGTAGGTTTAGGGATGAGTCAGTCTGTACTGTTGATTTTCATCTTTTGAGTCTACTTGTAATGGTCAAAGAGACTGATGCTAAGTAACCCTACGCACACACACTTGAGAGACTTAGAATTT